ATGGAGTTACAAGCAGAAATAATATTAACGGAAACCGATCACCATTTTGGACACAACTCTTCAGACGCACAGGAACGGCGAGGCTGCAATAAATAAATTAATATATATATATATATATATGTAGACAAATACAAGGAAAGTCTTATATTTGCGTGGGCGTATGCGTGTCTGTGAAAAGAAAGTGAGTAAGTGTTTGTGTGTGGCAGAGAGAGATAGACGAAGAGCACAAAGGACGGAGCAGCTCACATGCCTAGATGGTCACTGCTGCTCAAGGATGCTCATAGCCTCCGTTTTTCCACCCGCCTTTGCACACTCCAGGGCTGTTATTCCCGCCACACTCTTCACGCTTCGAGTCGCACCGTTACGGAGGAGAAGCTGCAGCACCTCTAGGTGGCCGCCGCCGGCCGCCAAGTACAACGGCGTCCGCTTCATCTCGTCTCTCGCATTCACATTAGCGCCCTCCTGCACGAGCCGATCCACCACGGCAACAAACCCGCGATCCGCGGCGTAGTGAAGTGGGGTCCACCCGCCCATGTCGATTGAGTCCACGTTGATTGTCTGCAGCGGCTGCACAGACAGAAGGGCGTCAACGATGCACACGTTGCCCGAGAACGCCGCGTGGTGTAGGAGCGTCATTTTGTTCGCGTCGTGCTCCGTGACGCAGCCACCGTGGCGCACGTACTCCAAGACCCGCGCCTCGTTCCCCAGGCGGCAGGCATCGTAAATGGTTTCCCCACTTGTGCCAACAGAGGACATGGTCATGCACGCCCTCTCACGCATGCCAAGCAGACAATAAGAGAGAAGAGATCACGTGGCAGTGAACACACGCAGAGAGCTGGCAGATTCATGTGCCTTTGCGTTACATACATAGCCACGCGCGCATTCGCCGTCACGACGGATACAGCCAAGGAAAGTTGTGTACAATATATATATATATATATATATATATCCACACACACAGAAATAAACTCCTTTTCTGTACTCAGGTTTATTCTCTCTTTCCCCATTTTTCAGAAGTTCTCCTTCACTTCCTTTTCTTTTCTCTTCTGTCACTCACCATACCATGTGTTGCTCTACCGTTTCTCCCCCCTCTCTCTTCCACCCGAAACCGGATAAGAAGGAATGTGTGTGTGTGTGTGTGCTTCCGCTCATCACACGTATTTGGCGCACTAGAGTAAATCAGCACATAAATATATATATATATATATATTTCTCCTACGACTTTCCTTTAGACTTCGGCTGGTGCTTTGCTGTGCTCACTTCACCCTCCTCCATGCCCGCGTGCTGCATCAACTCCGAGATGGACTTCTCCAGGTCGTCAATGCGGGTACCCATCTCGTCGATGCGAGAAATAATAGTGTCGGACATCTCCTGAAAACGCTCCTGCATGTGCTGCAGCAAGTTCTGCACAAAACTCGTCAGCTCCTGCGTCCCCTGCGGTGCAGCGGCGGAGGATGCCGCAGCCGACGCGTTTCCTGCGGCGCTCAGAGGCTTCGACATCACTTTGCGCTCTTACCACTCTCGTTTGAGAAGAAACAAAAAACCTTTATATATACATATATATATATCAAACCAAGGTTTGCGTGAGAAAGACATAGAAGCCAGGCAACAGAATGAGCGTCGGAAGAAAAAAAGGAGTGCAGCCGCATTCAGGGAGCAACCCCACATGTACACACTCATACAAATACACGATCATACGCAGGGCCACAATGTGGGGAATGTGGATCACTGAAGGGGGGGGGGCACATCACAAGGACCTCTCGTTTTCCCCCATTATTGTGGACCAGACGCATGGAAGTTTTTTGCTTCTTTGAGTCCAATCACAGAAATAACGGTGACATCGAAGATTCCAAACGATTCCCCACATCCAGGCGTTTTGCCCTGTATCGCACTGACGCATGCAATGGTATTTCCACATCGACCAATTGAGGCACAACGCAGCATGAAAAGAGCGTAGCAGTTGCTCTTATATATCCTCTTCTTGCCCATCTTCTGCCTGGCCACCGAGCCCACTACCTGAGACGAAGCGGAGGGCATTCGGCTCACCCATCATGCCGGGAAGGGGGGCAATTGAAGAGGCGTAGAGCACAAAGGGCTGCCCTGCCCTTCCGAGTCCCTCAGTGGTGAAGGGGCGCGTGTTCACATTCAAAAAACGGGTTAGGGAAACTGTTTCTACACCTTGTTGCTGCTGTGATGGCGGAAGCGTCAATTCCGAAAAAGAAACAGAGCCCGCACCGTTTGGCTGTGACGTCTGTGTGCTTGACACTTGTTCTTCACCTAGAGATGAACCTTGGTTCACCGTTGGCAGGTCATTATCCGGTGGTTTTTTCTGGAACAAAGGAAGATGCTTTGCATCTTCCTCTGGGACAATTCTTATGCTTGACCTTAACTTCGTTGCCACAGCAAAGCGCAGTTTTCGTGCATTTCCAAGTAATAAAGTTTTGGTCGTGTTCTTGAGGGTGTACTCCGCCACGCGCTTGTTCATATCAACCATGAGTGAGATGTAGTCGTCTTTCTCAAGTGTTTCTAATCCATCCTCCTTGCGGTGATGCGGAAAGTTTGAGTAAAAAACACCCGTCATATAATAAACACAACAGTTGAGTGTCTTGTGAAATTCCTGATCCGTGCTGACGCATGAATCGGAGACTAATCCGACACCCACATAGTCGCTGTTGGTCACCTGGAATGTGATGCGGTGACGCCCAGTGATGAGAAAGCGGGGGCCCACCACAGCCACACCATATATGACACGGAATCGGTTGCGTTCTGGATTCACCCCTGGCCCGGGATTTAGCTTTATAGAGGTATCTGTCGTTTGGTCGCCAAGCTCCTTCATTAAGGAATGCAACTGATAGTAACGTGCGTCTGTCCTAAGCATCGAACGCTCGTCCTCGTTGAGTGTGCCAAGCAGGCGGTAACCACGAAGGTAGTTGAGAGCAAGCCGGAAGATTGCTGGGTCCCTATCTATAAATAGCGCACCAGTATCATCTACCAATGGGACCTGGAGGGCATTGCCGCTCTCCACATTGCCGCTGCCAAATCCAAAAAGAACGTCGAAGTAGTTTAAGTTACCATCCTTACTCAGAAGAAGCTGAAGACGAACAGTAAAAATTTCATCCCCAACATTCAGCCGAACGACATCGTGGGGGGAAACATCCTGCCACATTGAAAACTCATCCATGACCCGCTTGGACTTCCGCCGTCGCTCAATAAGTGAAGTGACATCTCGCTCAACAAGTTGGTACGCGTGTAACTCTGTTTCTATTTTTTCACGACTACCTGTTGCATTCGCTATGGTTTTCTCAATAGAATAGGCTTGAGCTTGCTCATTTTCCGTCTCTCTGTGCACATAGTAGTTACCGCAATCGCTGGTGTTATCCGTGACAATATCTTTACTATGGGTCATATTCTTCCTCTGCCCCACACCGCCATCCCCAACACCGTCGTTGTCGCTGTGCCGCTGACGCTTTTTACCTTTCGAGACGTGGATGGGATCATTGGACATTCACCCGTGCAGAAAAATGAATCTACACTCTTTCTTTTACTTTGCTGCACTTAATATTCTCGTTATTATTGGTATTCGTCGAGGTGAACAAATAAGAGCGGTGTGTGTGTGTGTGGGTGTATGTGTGAGTTTGAGGATCAGCAGGCGGCAGGTATCAAAACAACAACAACAACAACACATATTAAACTCTCATGGGTGAGTGGGGGGGGGCGGCAAACTACACAAAAGTAACACATAGCAACGACCGGGACGAAGGAAAAGCAAAATCCCTGGAGATACAGAGTAGAGCCGCCTGTCTCCGCTACAGGTGCTCCACCTGCAGCCTCACAACATGGGTCATTTCACACCCGTCAAGATCTGAAAGTTTAATGCTCAAAACGTGCTCCCCCGTCTTGAAGGCAAAGAATTCCACCCTCTCCTCGTACCGCTCCCCAACATCATGTTCATCGCCATCACTTTTTTTGCCGCCAACAATAGTTGTGGTGTCCACGGGCCCGCTAAGGACGTCGGCGTCGAGATGGTTTTCCATTGCAAGACGAACACGCAGTGGAACCGCACGTTTCCACGGCGCATCGACATACACAACGAGCGGGACGGGTTTCATGACAGGCACCACGAACGTCAGCTCGCTTGTTGAGTTCCGTTCACTCCGCCATTCCAACCTGGACGCGGTGAAGCAACTTGTATCATCGGTTAGTGCAGCGATACTAACAACAGCATCTTCCAGTGGCTCCGTGCACACCACCTCATTTGCGATGATTGAAAAATCAAGAGAAACCACACCGTGGCACTCCGGCAGCTCCCGCACTACCCACGGGAGTGGGAAATGACGTATGTCGGGCGGCACCTTCGTGATTTCAATGGGTGGGATAAGGTACTCCGCACCCGCCACTACCAATGCGTCCGGAATGCAGGTAAAAAACATACGGCTGCAAAGTAGTTCCATGGTGTGCACCTTGCTGTTGTTCTTCACTGTGATTTCCACGTACCGGCGGTCGCGTGAGAGAGCCAGGGATGTCACGGCGACACTCGGAACGTGGAACACACGAAGGTACGTCTCCTGCACACGACGAGGAATAACAGCAAACACAGGAACTGCACTTGGTACATTCTCGGGTGCCACAGGCGGATCGTATGGAAGCTCAACGGTTGCACGGAACACAACGTGTTGAAACACTACATTGTCATTGCATGCAGCAGCCACTATCGTCACTTCTGCCAGCAAAGCATTCCCAGGCTCCAAACAGAGTGAACCAGTCTTCTCCAGTGAGCCACGCTCGAGGATAACGTAGAACGAGGTGGCGTTTGCCCTTTCTTTGCACCCAGTGCAAACATCTAGTTGGCAAGACTCGTCGTGTGCAGTCACCTGGAGGCGTCGTATTGGCACCGCACCCGAGTTGGTTATTTGCAACGGTAAACGAATTGTTTGTCCACTAAAAATCGCCAATTCATTAACTCCCAAAGTACAGGAAACAAGAGGAAGTTGCTGCAGAACTGGAATAGAGGTTGGCTTTGGTGACGGTACGAGAAAGGTCGAACACAGCGGCAGCTGCCCAAGACGGATTTCCACACCATCCACCACAAGATACCCTTCCATATTCGGCTGAACTTGTAGACGCATGTGACGCTTTGACATGGATGGAAGGATTACGCCTGTCACCACATAGCTTGATGGAGCAAGAGGCCCAACTACTTGGCCCAGTTCACCATCATTACCAACGCGTTCAACTTCATCCAATGTTGCCACAGAACGGCAGCTGAGTGCGATGGATGTTAGTTGCAGATCACGGCGGAATGGATTTGTCAAAATGAGTTCAACTTCACCAACGGTTCCGACAGACCACACCATTTGACCCTGTGGGAGAACCTTCCCATTCAATGTGAGCAGCGTCATCTTGAGACGACCTGTGTCGATGAAAGTAAACTGTGCACCACTCAAAGGCACCGTTTTGGGCGCTAAATGTTGTGGAAGCGCGAGTACATCCATACTATACAGCAACGGTGGTGGCGTGGAGAGGAGGGATTCCGGATGCACACTGCTTCGCTCAATGATGTCCATCAATGACTGCTGCGTCTCGCGGCTGAGGAACGGATGGTAACCAAAAAGGAGGAAAGACGCCAGAGAATTTTGCATCTCACAACATTCTGGACCAGCCTCTACCAAAGCGTTGAGAAGCTCCATGAGGAGCGGCACGTCTTGCGCCTTTCGGGCACGACACACCGTAGATCCTGTCCCACTATCAGCAGCACCACTCTCGCCTGCCCTCTGGTGCGGTGCCACGAGCGACTCCATCGCCTGCTCCCGAAAATTCATGCTTGGCAGTTGGATACCGGCCATCCCACAGGCACGCACCAAAAGACAAATGGCGGCACCAAATGCCTTGGCTTGTCGCTCCATAGCAGCAGCCTCAACAACGTAATGAACCGCCTTCCGCCTACAGCCGCAGAGCAGGCTCAGAGAAGGTACAAGCTCGCGAATGCGACGTCGCATCAACTCTGGCACACCCTTTGCCGCCGTTTTCAGAACAGTTAGAGACTCAAGGAATCCCCGTTTGTTACCCTCCTCTGCAAAGAGTTCAGTACGTTTGAAGTGAATTTCTACTTCACGCTCATGCAAGGCCACCTGCGTTTCAGCAACAGGGCGAAGCTGTTGCAAGGCCTCACCAAGGTACAGGTGCAGTTCGAAGAAACTAATGTGAAGAATTTGCTTAAACGTGGAGCGCGCATTCCTACCGGCATCTTCCATGTTTGTGACGAGTGTGTCTTTGGTGTCAGGCGCAAAGGAGCGACGTATTGATGATAGCTGTCTCCGGAAGTTTTCACTCAGCAGTGATAAAGGTTCTTCAACCTCTTTTAATAGCTTTCTACTTAGCGGCGAGGCAGATAAGTTGTGCTTCAACAATGAAACTGCCTTATGCTGGTCTGTTCGCATCTTTTCAACGACACTCTCGAGTTGATTTAGTGTGGCCGTCACACTCTCATTCCATACCATTTTTTCGTTCTCGAGCGAGGAGAAAAGGTTATTCACTGTGGCTATGAGGGCGAAGAGTGGGGCCCTTTGCAGGTAGCGCAGGGCAGCAAGGGATTCTAAGGTCGCTGAGGACCACACATGATCAGCACCCACTAGCGAATCAATATAGGAGATCAATGCAGCATCTAGTGCGCCAAGTTGCAAAAGGAGGTCCCCCTTCTTCTTCTTCAATTGAGACCCCATAACGTGCTTCTTAAGATCCTCCCCGCCATCATTGACACTACTGACATCATCGAAGACCAATACAGCGCCGTCACCACCACCACCACCACCACCAGAACTGGCAGCAGCAGCAGTGACACCTGACTTGACTTTTGGTGACAACTTTAGGCCAACAATACAGGAGTTCACATGTTGTACAATGGAGAGTGCAACATCCTTCAAGAGATACCGCGCCACATCCTCCACTGGTGCATTCGTGTATGTGGGGAGAAAAACGTGCTGTGACATACAGGCCTTTGCATCGACTGTGGGGTCCAGCACAAGACACCGACAAATGCTCTCCTTAAAGTAATGCTGGAAGAGCACCTTCACCGCCGCGAGTGCGCTACGAGGATCATAATCATGGCAGTTGAGAACCACCATCACAGCGGATGTGTTTTTATGTGCCTCCATTTTGGCCCACGGGGAGGAAACAATCGAAGAGGCGTCGACGGCAACTTGCACCGAGACCTCAAGTACGGCGTTGTGGGTGTAGTACTCCGTCGCTGCCGGGAACACACCGCGGAGGGAGCGCATCGACACAACCGGATTCTTCAACACCGCTCGGAGGAGACGCTGCTCAAAACCGCTCATCTGGGCGAAGGACCCGCATCCGTCCAAGGTACTGACCCTGCCACCAGCGGTAGGAGCTCCAACGCCGAGGTTCTTTCCTGAATCGTTTCCACGGCTCTCCAAGGCATATTGCATGCACAAGGACAGCGGAATCCACAAGAGTGGCANCGAGGTTCTTTCCTGAATCGTTTCCACGGCTCTCCAAGGCATATTGCATGCACAAGGACAGCGGAATCCACAAGAGTGGCACCGACCGATGAGAGCGCAGCGAAGATGACGGAAGCTGCCACGCAGTCAACGCGGCTGCTTCTTCCATCTGTTTATCAATGTTTACCGATGAACAAACAGGAAAAAAACAGCCAATAATCTACGCAAATATGTGTGTGTGTGTATATATATATGCCCATAATTATGCATCGGTGAGAGTGGAAAGACGCAGGGGACAAGGATCTGACACAACTTACGGTTCCCAACTTATATAACCCGAAGGCTGTGGAAAAATACATGGGATTAGGTGTTTTTTTTGTTTAAACAAAAAGTGACGATAGTGTTGTTGTTGTTGTTGTTCACGCACTCGCAACGATGCACCAGATCTTCGAATATTGCCCCATCAAGCTCTTTGTGTTTTGACAGACCACCACTCCTGCTTGATCTTCTTCGCACTCTCACCCTTGCCTCTTCGGTGCGTCAGTGACCTCAAGAGCCACATCCGCACCAGGGAAGCGCTCCTTCTTGCTCATCCATACAGACGTCAGACCCTTTGTGCCGCGGTGCGTGTATTCTGACGCGATCTTGTACCCGCGCTGGCTGAAGAAGTCTACAATTTCTGCCAGCGACCGCAGAGTGAGTTCTGCGGGCAGGGAGCCCTCTTCCCACTCAATGTGCTTCTCGAGCTCCTCCACCGTGATGCGGGCGTGGCGGTACCGCGCAGGCGCCACCTCCCACGCGGCGGGATAAACCGGCGCCAGCTGTGAGTACACAGGAAGGCCACAGAAGCCGATCTCGCGACGCAAGATCGTGTACGTGACAGGGTCGCGCGGAACCACAAGCGTGCCTGTGCGCAGGTAGTCGAGGATGAAGCCGAACACGGAGCCGTTTCGGTCGAGGAAGTAGCTACCATCTCTGTGGTCCCTGGGGGCGGCAATCGGCTTCGTGAACATTTGCCCGAGCACGGAGTGCGGGTACTTGCGCAGCGTTTCCAACCGCGTGGCGAAGTGCTGCCCCCCAACATTCAGGGACACAATGCCGGAATCGTTCACCTCACTCACCATCCTTCAGCTGGTCGTGCAACGCAGTTTTTTCTTCCTACCCCTCGTAATTTGTGACCCTTTTCCTCTTTGCCAAACTGTGCCCAGCCCTTTGAAGAAAGGTGCCATTGAGTTGTGTCAGACAACGGAGATAAGGAGAGGATGGTTGAGGGGAGGGGGGAATAGCCCGACTCTGATGGAAAGGCGCACATATATGAGGAACGCAGCCGCTGCCCCCGTAGTACTGAGCACGCACAAAAATACGTGTGCGTGCGCAGGCATAATGTGAACGCGTCTATGTTTTCTACACGGTTCCAACTCTTTTTCTTCTTCGTTATGGAATCACGTGATTTCATGGTCACTCGCCATTGAAAAGAAGCAGATGCCCAAATGAGACGACCCGTATGGGCAACTCACATGCAGGCGTTTTATCATTATCTGTTCGTAGTATGTAGTACAACTCTCCTTTCATCACCATCGGGCTGTCAGATGGGTTCACAAAGCTCAACTCAAACCGTGGCAATGATTCAGTGTAACCATTCCCATTGTCGTTGTCATTGTCATTGTCGCCACTGCTGCTGCTGCCTTTATTGCTGTCCCTTCGCCTGAAAGGTGGCTGGGACAATCTCCATACGTGGGCGGCGTGAACGTATCCGACGTCCTCGAGCAGCTCTGAGGACGCCAAATCGAGCCGCAGAAAGTACGAATTCACCACATCAATTCTGGCAGCGGGGTCATGCGGTTGCAGGTCGAAGCGCAGCATGAAGCAGCGGTGCGCCTGCGCGAAAGGACCACCACTCTCCGCCAGTCGCCCCCCAGTCACAGCAGGGTCAAATGGCCGCACTGTCACAGTTATGGTGAGGTCGCTGTTTTGACATGTGATGCGACGCGGCACGTGGCACCGCGCGAAATCAACTAGCTGCTCATGTGATACCGCCGCTGCCGAAACGGCGTTGCGGTCCATGCCGAAGGCTCCCAGGTACTCCTTTGCCAGGGGGAACGGCGCGACATGACGCAGAATGAACATCTCCCTGCGCGGCCCAAGTTCCCCTGCGGAGGCCACACCGCCAACGCACTTGTTCTCTTCGCAGGCATCATGACGTATCTTTCCGTCGGCGGCATCCTCATCGTGCTGGGTAGCGGTGCGCGAGAAAAGCGCATCGTCGAGGAAGTCACACTCGCTCAGATCCGACGCCACCATTCGTGCCTCCTTTAGTATCGCATCGGTGGCGTTGCTCATGACGTCCTCCAGCCTCGTCTTGAGCCACGCCAACTCACGCATGTGAATAAAACGCTGCGCCACAGGTGTCAAATTAGGGGACGCTGCTTGACTGTCGCCATCGCTTCGAGTTCCCATTAGCGCGCGGCGAAGGTCCTCACAGCATATTCGCAGGATGTGATCTGGGTCAACTGGCTGCATTCGTTGTTGTTGTTGTTGTTTCTTAGTGGGCTCCCCAGCCTGCTCATTGATGGATTCCACAAGAGGTGAGGCCTCCACGCGTGGGTAGGACAATATGAATCGGATGTCNTCTTAGTGGGCTCCCCAGCCTGCTCATTGATGGATTCCACAAGAGGTGAGGCCTCCACGCGTGGGTAGGACAATATGAATCGGATGTCCTGCAGATGGTGGGGGCGACCACGGGCGGCGTAGACCCGCTTCAACAGCTGCCTATATAGAGGAACAAACTCCATGATAAAAGAGCACGTCGAGGTCTTCGTCGTGTTAACGGTCGTCTCTAGCGCATGCCAATAAACCTCCCTCCGGGTGAAGAGGACACTCCCTTTTTTATTTTTAAAGCGAGGGAGTGGGGTGGGGCTCGCGGAGAACACGAAAAAGCAAAAAAAAAGAAAAGAAAAAGAGAGAAAGACAAGATTGCAAGTATCGAGGGACCGATATATATATATATATAGAGAGAGAGAGAGAGAGAGAGAGAGAGAGGGAGAGAGAGAGATAGAGCAAGAGTGTGAGTCTGCGCGTGCGTGTGAGGGCGGCGGCGACGAAGCCGTCCCCATTACAAACCATATGAAGGGGCAAAGAGAAGCCACTGACAACTGCACGCAAACCTATCAAGAGCAGTCGAAATTCCCCTCCACTCACTGTCACCTCATTGCCTTGAAGAGTAGGGCAATCAGTAGCCCAATAATGAGGACGACTAGAAATAGCACACATAATTTGAACGCACCCGCTTCCTGGTATTCAGCTGCCTTTTGCAGCTCAACCTTCCCCTTCTGCACGCGACTGTGCGTCACTGTCATGTTGTAATCAATGCGGTCTAGGACGGCACCCTGCTCAATAACAAGCATATTCATGTCCTTGAACATTTCATGCAGAGACTTGATCGAGGTGTATATCCGGTCAAACTCCTTCACTCGCTCGTCTACCATATGCTGATTTAGTAGAATAGTCTCAACCTGTTCTTGTGTCATGCCCTTTTGAAGATATTGGTCCATTACCGCATCCGTCTCCAGCTGTTGCTCAATAACGCGCTGCCGCTCTCCACCAGCCCAACGTTGAGCCACCGCGTGCTGCTTCTTCACGTCCATCATGTAGCGACGCTGGCTCTCACGGTAAACTTTGCTGATGTTGTTAAGCTCATTGATAAGACACATCTTCACATTACGAAGAATGCTCAGCTCTGCATCGGTGCCACTGTCGGGGAGGTCGCGCAGGTATGCGGCGTCTAGTTCCCTGATGACCTTCTCACCGTGTTTGAAGAGGCTATCAATCACGTCCTGTGCCTTCTCGATCTGCACCTCCTCCTGGTTCTCATCCCTAGCGGAACTGAATTCAATTTTGAGGTGGTTCTTCCGCAGGCTATCGAGTGTGGCCATCTGCTCTTGTATCTTCTTCTCAATAACGCGTACGTCATCCATCTTCTCCACCCAGAGAGGGGTGACGTACATGCTGTGCATCTCCTGCTCCTCCTCCAGCAGCCGCTGCGCGTCGGGGTGCTTCGGCCGAACACTACGGTACTGAAGGAACTCAGCGGTGCGATCACGCGACGCCATTGAGCTAAACTAAACTAAGGAGTGAGTCGTGCTACACCGTCAAAGCTCTACGACAAGAAGAAAACGGTACAACAGCCGCCGCAGGACAAATATACACTGGTAACCACCATATTCCATAGTGGATACGTTTTATCCCAGCATCCTGTGCATCGAAACAGGTTGACACGAAACCACAGTCGCAAGGGGGAATAGCAACGAAAAAGGGGATGGCCAGAGAAAAATTCGCAAAAAAAAAA